ATATGAAAATAATACAAGAGTAGAAAAAGTATATCAATGAAATAATATTGCAATCAATTTCTTTAAAGAGAACAACTTTTTGTTCATGCATTTTACGTTAGGAGAAAATATTTTGAAATGAAAACAAATTTTAAACGTTCTCGATTTAAATAGAAACTAAAATTGTTAAATATAAAATTAGAAATCAAAGAAAAAGTATTATAATGTATCTGTATACAAAATATTGCAATCAATTTCTTAAAAAAATAACTTTTTATACCCGAACATTTATATTATAAAAAAGAAATGATCAATGACAAACAAATTTTAATGTTCGAATAAAAACAATTATTATTATTATTATATCTAATGTTTCAATCAATGAATACAAAATAATATATACATTAATAATTATCTTGAATAAATTATATCTAATATTGAATTATTATCAAATGAAATATTTCTCTCTAAAAAATTGACAAATAATTAGAAAATGTTCGTTTAATTAACAAACATAAAGATAATAAATTTTTTCTCTACTTATATCTCTCCTACTCTATCTTTATCTTTATCTTTATCTGTGTGTAATCGTAACGGTAAATCACAAATTCAATAATCACTAATTATACTCACAACCCTCTGCTAGGAAGGCAACGTCGGAACCAAAGTTAAACACGGGTTTTGACTTATCAGCTTCCAACGAGTTTGTAGATTAGTTTCGTGCTTGCTCAGCCTTCAGGCTATTATGAAATACCATCGAATTTGGTTTGCAGTACACGTTTGACATTTCACGTACATTGAATTTTAACGAAAAACCATCGATCTTTTTATCTACCTAATTCCCCTTCCTCTCCGCACCCCCTTCTCCCTATTTCTATTTTTGCATACTATCATTAAACAAAATTGAAAGAAAAACTGATGTGTGTACTTATTTACGCATGTAAAATTAGCATACCAAAACGAACATAACCTCAATAACCTCAAAAATAACTTCAATTATCTCGCGTATCAATATAATACTCTACATTTGTTTGATAAAATAAAATGAAGATATTAAATATCATTGATAAAGGTTTTAATTAATATGTACAATTTAATTTATTTATTTACGAATTAATTCATGCCGGTAA